TCGGTAGGTCGGGTCTTCCCGGTGGTTCGGGTCGGGAGGTCAGGTCTTCCCGGTGGTTCGGGTCGGGAGGTCGGGTCGGTAGGTCGGGTCGGGAAGAAGCTCCGCCACAGCGCCAGGAAGAGGCGACACCGTCTCGCACCTGCACACAGGTCGGGCCGGGGTGCTCGACCCGACCCCTCCGACGATCAAGTTAGAGAAAGATGTGGAGGGGGTTTAGGAGGAGGAGAAACCTCCGTCTGTTGAGTGTGTGATCCCCCTCTTTTTGCCAAGGGCTCGGGGGTATTTATAGAGGAGGTTTGATGTTACCTGATGCAAGGCAGGACTGTACCTTTGATTGCGTGGGAGGCCGAGCTGCTGCAGGGTATGGCGAGCCTCGGGCAGTGTATTACTCAGGGGGATGGCGTGTCACATTGCCATTTTTGTCCCTATCAGTTAGTGACTTAACATAACCCTCCAATTAGTTGTTAGTGACCTAACATAACCCTCCATCATCTTCATTTAGGCTTGGGATCGATATCGACGGTTTAATCATACCTAATGGTTTACTTTCCATACTCATCCTCAGGTGGACACCAATGTAAATTCAACTATCTTACCTCAATCAAATCCAAAGAGCCATTTGTAACTAAAAATCTTTCATGGACAAAAATATAAACTTATACTTGTAAATGCTTTTTCCTTTCAAAACATTCTTAACCTCTCACCACTAAATATGGGAGAATAAATGAGGATGGAGATTACTCTTTATTACTTGAGTAATTATGGGACAATAATAAGTAAAGTGCTCCCCACCCTGTTCTCATACCTATACCCACCCCATCAATACATGAGTTGAGATGTTAGGTGACATGTTGGGCGGGCCAAATGCTCGCTAATTCAAATCAAGTTCAATTAAGTTTTAATTGAGCCAATTACTAGTTAATCGTGAGTCATTCGATTTGATTGAATTAGATGAAATAATATCAACAAATATTATTATTTATATTTATATTATATTTGAATATCATTATGACATGTAAATTTTACAAATATTAATATTAATATTATTTATAAATTTTAATATTATTATTTAATTTTATAATAATTATAATTTTTAATCAGGAGAATATAGAGAATTGTAGTTCTTCATCCCAAATGAAGAATCCCTATCCTCACTGTCACCCTATCTAAATAGTTAACAATCCTACTCATCACCTTTTCATTTCCTTTATAAAAAATTAATACCCTTAAATTAAAAGTAATAAATTGACATTTCATTTCCTTTATAAGAAATTAATACCCCTAAATTAAAAGAAATAAATTGACATTTCATTTCCTTTATAAAAAATTAATACCCCTAAATTAAAAGTAATAAATTGAGAAGAAAAAGAGAGAGAGAAGACGGAGGTGGGAGAATAAGAAAAATGGAGAAACTACTTACTGATCCGTATATTATTTAATTATCATCATATTAAGTAGCATTTTAATTTATATATGCACTAGTCAATTTGATAAAAAGGTATGTTATGAAAGTGTTTAGAAATACTGAGGCTTGAACTTAACTCCTTTTGATTAAGTCAGAACCAAACATAAATCTTATAACTAGCTTACCTTTCAAAATAATACAATTAATGCATCATTCCTTCGAATTTAGTACATGAGACTGGTTGTGAATATTTGGAAAGAAATTAAATTATTAAACATAACAATAATTAAAAATTAATCTTATGTTTAAATGATAGACTTTCTTATAAAATGAAATAGCTAATGAGATCTCCAAAGTCAATCATACGAGCATTGTGAGTTTAAGAGATTAATGATATTTACCAAGGAAATCGATCATTGTCATTAGGTAGGCCTGTATTGGTAAGATGATTATTCTATATCAGAATTTAACAGGCTATCGGACTTGATGGCTGACGATATCCTGTTTAGGATAACAAAGATGTGCCTCCACGTGATGAGGGTAATAATGGTGACATGATGTGCCACGACGTCAGTCACGCCTGGGCGACACTCTGCCCGAGGAGGAGGGCAATAATGTTGACTCAATGTGCGCCGACGTCACCCGCTCTCAGACAACGACTTCATCGTTGCCTGACCCCGCACGCTTGGCCGAGGCAGAGGAGGACGACGACCGAGGCTCACCCATACCCTGCGGCAGTTCGGTTCTCCACGCAACGCCAACGGCAATGTCAGACGCCATCAGAGGTATGGTCCTGCTCCTGCAGGCAGGCACATCAGGTAACACTAAACTTACCTATAAATACCCCAAAGTTCTAAATGAAAAGGGGAGTACTTCTTCATACAAAAATCCCCTCCGTATCCACTGACTTGATCGTCGGAGGGGTCGGGCCGAGCTTCCGACCCGACCTGTGTACAGGTGCAAGAACGGGGTCGCCTCTTCCCGGCGCTGCGGCAAAGCTTTCCTTCCGACGCAACATCCCGACCGGACCACCGTAATCGGCCATCGAGAGATCTCGAGGGACGCTGCGCGAGATCCCCGTCATTCGGACCTCCAACCAAGCCGCGTCGGCCCTGAGGCCACGGCATAAAGTTGTTTACACTAACAGATTGGCGCTAGAAGGAGGGCCCGTCCGAATGTCGAGCGATCAGCAGATCCACTCTGACGAACTCGCGGCTGTCGGATTGCCCATGATCAGCACCCCGGGAGAACATCCCCCGCGTGATGAATCTCGAGACGAACGCCCCGCCGTGACGTCGGAACGCTACTGGCGGTTGTTCAACGACCCGGGTTTATCACCGCTTGACGGCGGCCCCGCCGGCCCGTCAGCGGTACCGCCCGAGGCCTTTCACGACCTCGCTCATCAAGTTCGAGCTCTAACGGGCGTGGTGCAAACTATCATCCCGCTCGTCTCCCAACCGACGCCCCCGCATATGACCCGGCCTTTGCAACAGCAGGGGGCCCCCACCCGGACTCATGCACCACTTCCCGAGCTCCCCGCTTCGCCTCGGAACCGAACAACCTAGCCCGGGAACCGAGAGGCGGAAGATACGTCGAGTCGCCCAGAGCCTGAGGCGTCATCTGCGGACTCGACGAACGCCCTGCGAGCCCAGTTGTGCCTTGTTAGTCAACGGCTCGACAAAGTACAGCAGGAAGTTCGCAGGTCAAAGGGAGAGCTCGGGGCGGACAGACACCAAGGGTCCCCGTTCGCGCTCGAAATACAAGATCAAGTGATTCCACCCCATTTTCGGCTCCCTTCGTTGGATGCCTACGACGGCGCCGCTGACCCAGCGGACCATGTAGCCACTTTTCGCACCCAAATGGCCCTATATGGGACTTCTGATGCCTTAATGTGCAGAGCGTTTCCAACAACTTTGAGGGGGCCAGCCCGCGCGTGGTACAACGGCCTGAAGACCGGGACCATCACCTCCTTTGACCAGCTCGCCAGAGACTTCGAGCTCAACTTCCTAGCCTACGCCCGACCAAAGCCATCCGTGGCGTTGCTCCTCGGACTCAACCAAAGGGAGGACGAGCCCCTCTCCCATTTTGTGAACTGCTTTACGATGCAAATTCGGGGACTGTCGGACGCTCACCCCTCTCTGTTAATGCAGGCATTCATGATAGGCCTGCGGCCTTCCAGGTTCTTTTGGTCTCTTGTGGAGCGGCCCCCCACCGCGGTGCCCGAGATGCTTCAGCGAGCAAGCCAGTTCGTCGCCGCAGAAACATGGATGGCTGGAAGGCGTGAAGAGCACAAGAGGGTCAAGCCGGAGCCGCCCCGGCAGCAACAAGCCACCACGTCCCGGCGTAGGTTGGACAAATCCGACCCCCCAACGTCAAGGCCCCCTCTCCCCGCCTTGAGCTCATCCCGAACAGAAATATTTCTCCACATAAGGGAGAAGGGACTACTCAAAGATCTCCACCCGATGAGGAGCCTGCAAGAACTTGCAGACCGGTCAAAATATTGCCGTTTCCACCGGCAGCACGGACATGACACTGAATAGTGTCGTGAGTTGAAAAGGCAAATCGAGGAGCTCATTCGTAGAGGGCACCTCGGCCAGTACCTTCGGCCGGACAAGGAACTCTCCCCGCTCCCGGAGGGTCCCATCGAGCAACACATCGACGTGATAGCTGGCGGCCCCGCATCTGGCGGGGGCTCCATGACGGGAAGAAAGGCATACGCCCGAGCTGCCTCGGCCGAAGCTCCCAGGCACGGGCCCGAGCCCGAGATCACTTTCCCGACCGGAGCATCCGAACATCCCGAACACGATGACGCGCTCGTGATATCGGCCAGGATCGCCAATGCGCAAGTAAGAAGGATCATGGTCGATACCGGGAGTTCGACCGACATACTTTACTTTGATGCCTTCCGAAAGCTCGGCTTGTCTAGGGAGAATATGAAGCCGATATGCTCGGCGCTCACCGGATTCACCGGAGATTCAATCTCACCGTTGGGGGCTATCACTTTGCCCTTAACCTTGGGGGCCCCGCCAAGGTCGAAGACGGTAATGACCACTTTCCTAGTGGTCGATCTCCCCACTGCGTACAACGCCATCCTCGGTCGCCCGACCCTCAACAAAGTCAGAGCCGTCGTCTCAACTTACTACCAAACTGTAAAGTTCCCGACTCACGCTGGGGTCGAGGAAGGCGCGGGAAGCCCCCGAGAATCCAAGCGCTGCTACCTAACCGCCGTCTCGTTACACAAGAAAGCAAGGGTCGAGCCACCACTGGAGGATCCTCAGGAGACAAAGAAACCAACCCCCCATCCCGAGCTGAGGGGATCCATCGTCGACTTGCCTCGACTAGAAGGTCGGCCCAACCAGACGGTCAAAATCGGGTCGGAGCTACCCGAGCAGGAACGAAAGCAGCTCGTCGGCTTCCTACAGGAAAATGCCGACGTCTTCGCCTGGTCGCCATCTAACATGACGGGCGTCGACCCGGAGGTTGCACAACACCACCTCAATATTTCACCCGACGCTCGCCCGGTGAAGCAAAAACCCAGACGGCAGGCCCCTGATCGGTAGCTCGCCATACGAGAAGAAGTGGATCGACTTTTAGCGGCAGGCTTCATAGAAGAAGTCAGATACCCACGATGGCTATCCAATGTAGTCCTTGTAAAGAAACCCAATGGAAGCTGGAGGATGTGCATTGATTACACCAGTCTCAACAATGCATGCCCAAATGATTGCTACCCCCTCCCAAAGGTCGACGCAACGGCTGAACACGCCCGCTGGACGCTTTCTCGGGATACAACCAAATCAGAATGGCGCCCGAAGACCAAGAGCATACGACCTTTCTCACCGATCAAGGGGTATACTTTTATAAGGTCATGCCTTTCGGATTGAAAAACGCTGGGGCTACATACCAGAGAACAGTGAACAAGATGTTCACCCACCAGATCGGGCGGAACATGGAAGTTTACGTTGATGACATGATTGTAAAAAGCCAAGAGGCAGGAGCTCACCTTGCCGATCTGGCCGAGACGTTCGCCACGCTGTGCAAGTTCAACATGCGACTCAACCCCGCGAAGTGTGCCTTCGGCGTCACCTCGGGAAAGTTCCTCGGGTTTATCATACACGAAAGAAGAATTGATGCCAACCCAGAGAAGGTCCAGGCAATCATCAACATGCAGTCGCCTCGAACGATCAAAGACTTGCAACGCCTTAATGGGAGGCTCGTCGCATGTCTCGTTTCCTTGCCCGATCGGGTGATCGCTGCCTCCCCTTCTTCAGGGCGCTGAAGAACCCGAAGAATTTTTAGTGGACGGCGGAATGCGAGGAAGCCTTCAAACAAATGAAGCAACACTTGGCTAGCCTCCCCCGACTTGCCTCAGTCTCTCCTGGGGAGAAGCTCGGCCTTTACCTGGTTGCCTCCCAGCACGCAGTCAATTCTGTTCTGATCAAAGAAAACTCTGGCGAACAACTACCGGTCTACTACGTCAGCCACGTCCTGAACGGGCCCGAGGAACGATACCCACCGATTGAGAAACTGGCACTGGCGCTTGTGCTATCAGCCCGGAAGCTACACCCCTACTTCCAGGCTCACCCAGTGGAGGCCATCACCGACCAACCACTGCGGCAGATCTTATCTGAATTTGATGTTGCAGGACGTCTTCTCAAATGGGCGGTGGAGCTCGGCGAGCATGACGTACAATACGTGCCCAGAACCGCTAACAAAGCCCAGTCCGTGGCCGACTTCATCGCAGAATTAACCCAGACCGAGGACACGAATCTCGAGCAACCTCCTGAAGCATGGGTCCTGCACGTGGACGGATCGGCCAACTCAAAGGGCGCCGGCGCAGGGCTGGTGCTACTAGCTCCCGACGGGCGCTTATTCGAGCGCTCCCTCCGCTTCGGGTTCCAAGCCACTAACAACGAGGCGGAATACAAGGCGCTCCTAGCAGGACTCAGGTTGGCCCTCGAGATGCAAGTGGTTGCCATACACGTCCTCACCGACTCGCAGCTGGTAGCCGAGCAACTCGGCGGCGGATACGAGGCTCGGGACCCAATCATGGCGAAGTACTTGGCACAGGTAAAGAACCTGACCGCAAAGTTCCCTCATTTTACATTATATAATGTTCCGAGGGGAGAGAACGAGCGAGCCGATGCGCTAGCTAAGCTAGCGTCGAAGCCAGCCTCCGGAGCTCGGCCTGAGGTCGACGAGCTCCCTACCCGTGCCATCGAAATCGCAGCCGCGGTCTCGGGGGGCGCGCCAACCACGTGGGTGCAAGAGTTGCTATGCTTCAAGCGGGACGGGACCCTTCCTCCCGATGAGGCTACGGGTCGGCGCCTACGCCATACGCATGCGTTGTATTCTGAGGTGGGCGGACGGCTCTATAGCCTGGTGACTCGGTTCGGCTTGCCCAAAACCATCATTACAGATAATGGGCCTCAGTTCGCCAGTAGAAGGTTCCGGGAGTTCTGTGCAAGCCATGGAATCCAGCTAAAGTTCAGCTCGGTGGCTCACCCTCAGATGAATGGGCTAGCGGAGGTAACCAATCGGTCCATCCTAGACGGGCTCAAAAGAAGAGTGTCCGCAGCCCGATCGGCTTGGACGGATGAACTCCCGAGCGTCTTATGGTCATTACGCACCACCCCCAAAACCGCGACTGGAGAGTCCCCCTATAGCCTCACGTTCAGAACCGAAGCTGTCCTACCGCCTGAGGTAGCTATTCCCACCCTTCGGACAAGAAACTATGACGAGAAAATCACGGACGAAGGACTTCGAGCCAGCCTCGACATGCTCGAGGAGCGGCGTGCCGATGCACACTTGAAGGCCCTCTCTTATAAAAGAGCTGTCGCAAGGGTCTACAACCGGAAGGTACGACCCCGACCAATTAAGCTAAACGACCTGGTCCTATGCAAGACCGAAGTCAGCGACCCAACCCGAGCAAGGGGGAAGCTGGCCCCCAAATGGGAGGGACCTTATCGGGTTGTCGAGGTAATCCGACCGGGCACATACCGGCTCGCGACGATGGACGGTTCTTCTTTACCGAGAGCATGGAACGTCCAGAACCTTAGGAAGTTTTTCGTATGAGGAAGAAGTTTTTTCGCCTAAGGGAAGAGGAAGTTTTTCGCCTAAGGGAAGAAGAAGAAGACACATGAGAAGAAAAATTTCCTTTTTTATTTCAAAAACTGGGAATTACAGGACTCGATTGTAACAGGACTCGAGGATTACAAAAAGAGATTACCGGACTCGACCCCGACTCAGCCAAGCCGACCACCAAAAATATTACAAAACTCTGCCCTAATCATCGGGACCCCCGACGCTATCGTCGAAGGGAACCTCATCCGGCATATCTACGTCTAAATCCTCGGGATGCGAGGCAAAAGGATCTACCTCGACTTCCAGCCCGGGGTGGCGCTTTCTGAACCGGCCCAGGGCGATCCGGTACCCGTACTCATAAGTGACCTGCCCCGACCGGACCAGCCCGAGCTGGAAGCCCGAGGATTGCTTGTAGTCCTCGATTATTTCCTTATCCTTTTCTGGCCGCCGATCCCGCTCGGCAGCCAGAGCCTCTGAGGCCCCCTTCGCCTTAGCTAGGGCCCCTTCCAGCTTCTGGGTCAGGGTGATCGCCTCGTTCCGGGCTAGGCGAGCCTCGGTCTGTGTCACCCTTAGGAGCCCTTGGAGACCCTCCTTCTCCTCTTCAGCTGCTTTCGCCTCAGACTTCAAGCGAAGGACCTCATCCTCCAGCGACGACATATGCTGGTCAGCCGCCCCCGCCTCAGATTTGAGGTGCGTCACCTCCACCTCGAGCTCCGAGGAGCGCTGCTCTGCCGTCGCAACTGCCTCCGGAGCTGCCCCCGCGCGAACCTCCTCGAGCTGCTTGCGTAGCTCGGCATTCCGGTCGCATAGAATGCCAAGGGCCCGACCCGCGTCGCGCACGCGATCCGCCAACGCCATCGTGTAGTGTTGGCCCTGCAAAGGAAAAGTCAGAACCATCCTCGGGCAAACTGGAGGACGGGGTCCAATAGCGTGACACTTACCCACAGCAATGACTTCGCAGATTTGCCTAACAAGACATCCGAGGGCATGGTATATAGCTCGTGAGCCATATTCGGATGAAGCCCTCCTCGGATGAATGCGGCCGCAGTTTCCCCGTCAGCCCACACCCGGGTCCCGCGGGTCAACCCCCCCAGCGGGCCGCCAACCGGTCGGAGGGTTGGCCCTCCGAAAGCTCGCCCATCAGGCGCGCTTGGTAGGATTCGTTCGGTGCCCCCGCGGGGAGGCGGCACAAGTCCCGAATTGAGGGCTCCCTGGGCGCTTTTCCTGCCCCCTCGTTGCTCGGCCCGGCCTCCCCCCGGCCATGTCCCCGTCGCTGGTCGCGTGTGCTCGGCTCCACTACCACTTCGCATGCCCGAGCCCTCGGTGGAGTCGGTTTCTTCGGGGCAGCGACCTTGGCCTTCTTCCGAGGACGACCGGCCTCAAGCTCCACCGGCGCCTCCCTCGTACTAATGCCCGGGCTGGCCGGTTGACGCGGGGATGTGGTTGACGAAGAGCGCCCTCCACGCACAGCAGTGAGGTTCACCATTTCTGCACGAAAACACCGAGCTCGGTCAGAACACCAAAAACATGAAGACCTGCCACTACCTTCTTTAAGGCATACCTCGAGGCACCGGGTTCAGACCCGCCTCGACCAGCCATGCCTCGGTCATCTTCCGGATGACTCGGGAGGCCGGGAGGATCTCCTTCAGTCTTCGAAGGGCCTGGCGCTCCTCATCCAAGACCGGGGCGGTGTTGTCGACGGCGCGCACCGCCCACCGAAGCCCAAAATTCCAACCCTCCGGATGGCATACGTAGAAGAAACGCTCCTTCCACCCCTTGTTGCTGGAAGGAGCCCCACTGACCCGGAAGCCCGGTCGGGCGGACAGGTAATAACCCCCCAACCCCCTGGATAGACAGAAGCAGGAGAGGAAAAGAGACCGGCTCGGGGGAATCCTAGCATAGTAGCATTCCCCTAGGAACACCACCAGATAGCGCCAGGAATTTGGGGCCATCTGAGAAGGGGAGATACGCCACCACGAGACACAGGAGCTTATAACTGGATGGAGAGGGAGGCGCAACCCGGCCTTGAAGGCGTCCAGGGTTAGGGCGAAGCCCCTAGGTATAGGATCATACGTCCGCTGCCCAGGCTCGGGGGCAATGAGCGTGAATTCCGCCGGGATACCGTAACGATCCCGGAGGGAGCCGAGCGACGACTCGCTCACAGTCGAGTCGAGGTCGTGTGGCCACATTAGCGATTCAAGGGCTTTGACAGCCCTTTCCTCGGACGACGAGTGAGGACTTGCCGGCAATGCCCCCTCTCCGACGATACCGGAAGCGGGAGGCGAGGAAGAAAAGGGTAGAGAAAGAGAAGCCATCCTTACCAAGTCTTGGAAAGGAAGGTAGGGCAGCCGATGGGTATGAAACAAGGTCGCCCGAAGAGAGGGTTGAGCAAATGCAGGTATCAGGACGTGCAGGAAGCCGACGGTGCGCTATTTATAGGCCACATCCCGCCAAAACGGCGACCCTTCCTCCCCGGACGTGCGCTGCGAAGACGCAAACGTCACTTCGCCATAAATATAGCCTGACGTGGCGGCCAACGACAACGCGGTGCGAAGTACGGAGGCCCTAATCATATCAGCCTCGACAACCGATGACTCCCGAAAGAGATGGCCCCTTGAGCTTCCCCAGGAAGAAAGCAACCTGGCCGCCCGCGCCCGCGCGCGGCTGAGCGATCGGTTGCTGACCAAAACAAAGTTGTTCCTCTACCGCATATTGCCCGAGACCACACCTGCGCGGCCAGCCTGCCTGCGTTGTGCTTCTCGGCTGCATGTTGCCCGAGACCACACCTGTGCGGCCAGCCCGCCTGCGTCGTGCTCCTCGGCTGCATGTTGCCCGAGACC